TAGATCACAGAAGACATCAAAATGTGGTAAAAACATCAGTGACACAACCGGCTGCGCTTCATGTGCTCTTTTGTTTTTTCTTACCACGTTTTGACTGCATCTGTGATCCATTTCTGAACAGAGGCTGCCAATGATCTCGGTGTGGCCAAGTCGACTTACAAGATTATCCAGTGTAATAAAAAAATGACAAGACTTTTTTACTAGAATGTGCCGCGAAATGTTAACATTTTAATCGTCAGTAAGAGCTATCCACTGCGTGGCTAAAATTTCGCAGGAAAAATGAGGATGGTAGGTTTTATCTAAAGTGAACCTTATATTCATTCCTCAATGCTGCTGAGTTCTTTTAATTTCTCCTTTTCTCTTAGCTTTCGGAACTATATTATTTTCATTTGGTGGCGCTTCAACCTTTCCAAAGATTCAGACAGACATGAAAAAATGCTCCAAGTTTTCAATTTCTGTGTTCTGGGCGTAGGTTGGTGTCGTAAGCATATATCTGCCTGTGTCAATCCTCGGTTTGTGGCTTACGGCAAGAACATCACATCGAACATTCTCGAGAGTGTGAAATACGAAGGACATGACGCGGCTGCTGTTATGTTAGACATAGTGCTTGTACTGATCACACTTCACCTGCTGTTAAGCTTTGTTATTGTGATAAACCCAGTATCGCAGTCTTTTGAGGAGTTTTTGAGCATACCTCCAGGTTGGTTTAAATACACCCAGGGTTAATCTCATTAATTCAGCGGGAAGCAAGGGTTGCGATTGACGTCTACCTATTCCGTAAAAAAAACACAGAATCTAATATTTTACAGGGAATGTGATCAAGATAGCTCTAGGGTCCACAGCTACGCTTATATATCTAGGGGCGAAATACGAGCTTTTTTTTTCTTTTTTCTTTCGTGTAAAACTGTTTTCCTTATCGGAGTCTTGCTTTCATAAAAACCCCCCACCTACACAGCGTTTTAATGTTAGACACCTACGCTAACTTAAGTCATTTTTCGGTCTTCTTTTCCAACAGGATTTAGTGTCAAACGGTGCCTCCTTCGCACCGCCATCATGTGTTTTATTCTTGGCATTGGCGAACTCATCCCAAAGTTTGGTCCCATTCTGTCTCTTATTGGAGGATCCACAATAACTGCATTGACCTTTGTATTTCCCTGTTTGTTTTATTTGAGAATTGAACGTAATATTCCTCTTCATATCAAGGTTTTCTTGTATGAACTCATAGCTGTTGGAATTTTTGGTGGTGTGGCGTCCACCCGACTCCGCAATAAATGACATTCGAAAAGAATTCAGTTAAATCTTCAAAATAATAAAAATATCGGACTTCTTCAATGGCTAAGG